AACTTAAATATTTAGTTAGCTACCTGAATGTTTAACTTAAATATTTAATTTTGAGCTAAATGTTTAGCTTGCAACTTAAATATTTAGTTAGCTACCTGAATGTTTAACTTAAATATTTAATTTTGAGCTAAATGTTTAGCTTGCAACTTAAATATTTAGTTAGCTACCTGAATGTTTAACTTAAATATTTAATTTTGAGCTAAATGTTTAGCTTGCAACTTAAATATTTAGTTAGCTACCTGAATGTTTAACTTAAATATTTAATTTTGAGCTAAATGTTTAGCTTGCAACTTAAATATTTAGTTAGCTACCTGAATGTTTAACTTAAATATTTAATTTTGAGCTAAATGTTTAGCTTGCAACTTAAATATTTAGTTAGCTACCTGAATGTTTAACTTAAATATTTAGTTAGCTACCTAAGTATTTAGGTTGCAGCTTAAAAATTTAGCTAGCCACCTAAATTGAGTGTCAAACTCATTTTCACCGAGGGCCACATGAGTGTTATGATGGCCCTCAAAGGGCCACTTGTAATAAACTTTGATGTTTCATGTTTAACTTTGACTAAACTAAGTTTTAACACGTCCTCTTTTAAACACTGATAAGAACTAAGTGCATGACTGACTAAATCTGTAATAAATACAGAAATATTATCAAAAGTAAAACGAAAAAGTTTTACTCACTGATGAGTTTCTAATGAGTAGCTGCATTATGTCAGATTTTATGTTTGATGGTGACTTTAAAGCAACTTATTTTCAGACATTAGTACTGTGCTATCAACTAAATTGCTCAGTTACTTTTAGCCAACAGCTCAGGGACTGGATACTTTTTTATTTGGTACTGGTAAATGGTAAATGGTAAATGGTACTGAACTTATAGAGCGCTTTTCAAGTCCTTCCGGACCCCAAAGCGCTTTACACTAACAGACATTCACCCATTCACACACTGATGATGGCAAACTACATTGTAGCCACAGCTGCCCTGAGGCACACTGACGGAGGTGGGGCTGCCATGCACCGGCGCCACTGGACCCTCTGACCACCATCAGTAGGCAAGGTGGGTGAAATGTTTTGCCCAAGGACACAACGACTGAGACGGCTGGACGGGGGATTGAACCAGCGACGTTCCGGTTCCAGGACAACTCCCCTAACCATGGGGCGGCTGTGGCGGAGTGGTTAGGTGAGTCGTCCTGGAACCAGAAGGTCGCTAGTTCGATCCCCTGTCCAGCCGTCTCAGTCGTTGTGTCCTNTTTAAGTCACAAGTTAAATATTTAGCTTGTTAACTAAATATTTAGTTTGTAAGTTAAATATTTAGTTTATAAACTATGACATTTATAAATGTATGAATCATATGGTGAAAAACTGACTTTGAAAAATAAACCTGTTCTTTTTTTCTTATAAAAGACTAAATAAAACAAAAATACTGGTGGTAATTTTTGACTCTAACTTTACAAACGGCAGCCCATAGGTAGGAGTAATTCACGAATGACACAATTTCCAGGTTTTAAAATGGAGCATGATGCTCCGTCAAGATTTGCTAACCGTTCACAAGCTAAGGTGCAGCTGCTGTGCGTCAGTGACCTCTGAATAAGTTACAGTTATTTTGATTTTGTGATTGAATACCTCATTAAATGCAGGCCACAAGGTAATTTGCCATTGTATGTTTTAGCTCTAATTACTTGTTTACAGGGAAAATTGCAGTTCACTTGCTCACTTTCATTGCCTCTTAACATTAATTAGCTGCCATTAGATTCGGATCACAGGCTTTATGATATGTATAGGGAATATTATCAATTTAGCCTCCACAACTGGTGGTTTTACACAGACCAACTTGGTAATTAGTGAAAATTGTAGCTCTTGAAGTAGAATTTTATTCTGGTCTCAGTTCAGTTGCCATGAAAGATTTTAAAATATTAGTAAGACTACTTCGAGGATCTTCCAGTTTCATGCAAAACTGTGTATTTCTGCCTTGAGTTTGGATCATTGTTCCATTTCTTTTTTATCCACCTCCCTGCTGACATGGTTAGGACTCTGTAGACATTTTTCCCTTTCAAGCTGTATCAAACGATGCTCCTTTATCTTCCTATTTGAAGACAAACAGGCAGAAGAGAAGAGGAGCTGTTCTTGAGACATGAGAGCCACAGTGAGTAATGGAAACAGCCGTTTTATTTCCTCAGATAGAAGATTTGCACTTATAAATCTTGGTCATCAATAAGTTAATGGATTCTGACTCCATGTGAGAAGTTGTCTTTCCTCAACTAAACATGGCAAAATAGAAATATTTGTTTTTTTCTATGTTATTTCAGTATATGTGCGCAGCATGATCTAGGACATTGTAAGACACAAAAACTGTGAAGACAGCTTCTTAAGACCACCCTTTGAAGGTCTCGTGCATCCTTTATGATGTCATCACAATATTTCTTATTTCCCCAACATCTGTGTTACATCCACCTAAACACAAAGTGTTCTTGCTTCTGTTGTTTCCATGAAACATAATGGAATAAAAAGAAGAATTGAAACATTTTTTTCTTTACAACTTATCATTTGGTGATGGCCTCAGTAAACAGAAGAATAAATAAATGTAAATATAAGCATATACTGTATATTGTTATGATGATCAAACTATAAACATTTACCACTTCAGAAAATAAATGTTCAACAGCATTTTTTTTAAATATAGGTCAAGACTATATTACAGTTATATCCACAGTATTTCTGATGTTGCGCCACTACCCATAATTCATAGTGGAAGCTGATTCCATACTTCCGCTTGGCTGTTGTTTATTATTACATCGCTGTTTATCAAAGCATTTTTCATCGAAATTTGGCGTAGATGGCCACACATCAGAGGTGCATATTCTGTAAGGATGTTATAAAAAGCAGCAAGGACAATTCTTCATCAGTGGCTCAGCCGTCACTGCTCACGGACTGATGAAGCCATGTCTCGATGTTAGCTAATACCTACTGCTGACATCAACTACTTTGTCTTCTTCTGCTGTTTTCTTTAAAGTTGATGACATTACATTAATTCAATTCAATTTATCTATATAGCACCAAGTCACAACATACGTTGTCTCAGGACACTGTAGATAAAAAGAACAATGTAAAGAAGAAAGCAGCAGATTGTGTTGAATC